CGAGGTATATAGTCATTTTGACTTTTGGCAAGATCGGGGTGTCACATGATTGGCCGATTCTGCAATTTGATGTCGACAATGCCTATCTTCAAGGCCCATTGGAGGAAGAAGTATATATGACTCAACCACCAGGTTTCGTTGATCCATCCAAACCTCATCATGTTTGTCGTCTTCGCCGCGCCATTTATGGTCTTCGCCAGGCTCCTCAGGCGTGGTATACGACTCTCATTGAGTTCCTTGAAGCATATGGGTTTCAGAAAACTCACTCTGATGCTTCTCTCTATGTCTACTCTCGACAGCAGGTTCTTATGTACTTTATGGTCTACGTTGATGATCTCTTACTTACTGGTAATGATTCTATGGCCCTGGCTGCTTTTCAAGAAACACTCTTTGATCAATTTTTGCTCAAGTCCCTTGGCTTGGTTCATTATTTCTTGGGTATTGAAGTCATTCCCACTCCCACTGACTACATTTTGTCTCAACAAAAAATACATGGAGGACGTGCTTCATCGCTTCTCCATGACCGATGCTAAGCCAGCTACCACTCCTTTGGCGTCTTCGGTCTTGCTTTCTTTTCACGATGGGAGCTCTCCCGCTGATGCTACTCGGTATCGCCAGGTGCTGGGCGCTCTTCAGTACTTGACTTATACTCGTCCCGACATTGCCTTCGATGTCAATAAACTCTCCCAGTTTATGCATGCGCCTTCCTCCAATCATTGGCAAAGTGTTAAACGATTACTGCGTTATGTCTCCGGGACGCTCTCTCATGGTCTAGCTGTTCGTCACTCTTTTGGCTCTCTTGCGTTGTCCGCCTTCTCTGGCTCGGATTGGGCTGTCGACTTAGATGACCGTTCTTCTACATCACCTTACTTGGTTTATCTTGGCGACACTCTTATCTCCTGGCGTTCGCAGAAACAACGCACCATTGCTCGCTCCAGTACGGAGGCTGAGTATCGTGCTATTGCTCATGCTACTGCTGAACTTGAGTGGATTCGCAATCTGTTGAATGAGCTTCATCAACCACTTTCTGTTCCACCTATCCTCTACTCCGACAATCTTGGTGCTACATCTTTTAGCTCCAATCCGGTGTTCCATTCTCGTATGAAACACTTGGCGTTGGATTATCATTTTGTCCGTCAATTGGTTCAAGCTCAATGACTTCGCGTTGCCTATGTTCAGACTTCTCACCAACTGGCCGATATGCTCGCCAAGCCTTTGCCCGTGACTCGCTTTCTTCTACTTCGGTCCAAGATCAGCGTAGTTGATACTACGTCCGTCTTGCGGGGGCGTATTAGAGATAGTAAATAAATGTAATTTTATTTTCTCTCCCACTTTCATTATGTTCCTTTCTTTATGGAACATGGAATCCCTCATCTGTTTGTATAGTTGTATATAGTTCAGAAACCTAACTAATACAAATTACATCAGATTCATTCTCTTCAAACCTTCTACCTAATATCTCTATCACCATGCTCACACAACCCCATAGTCGATTCTCCACCACATAGTACATGTATGGATGTGAGTCATTTTATTCTTCATCCACAATGTAGAGAGTGATTTCAAACTTTCCAAATTTGCATAAAACCACCCCGCTATTCACTCGAGTGACATATAATAATATAATAGCTTAGTTTGGCCCTGCAGTAGCTTTTGCAGAAGCAGCTTCTGGCTGGAGCTTTTAGATAAGTACTTTTCAAAAAAAGCAGTTTAGTGTTTGTCTGTAAAACTATTAGAAGTGCTTTTTAATATGAGCGGTTACGTAAAATGACTATAAAGGACTTACAATATAAAATATGAATAAAAATTCTATACAATAAAAAGTAGTAAAAATGGATCTTGTTAGATTTTTTTTATATTAAATAATATGATTTTATAATTTATTTTATTTTTAAAATGATATAAATGAAGAAAAATTATATTTTCTGAAATAAAATTAAAATATGATAAGGATAATCTTGTATTTTCAAAACAGCTTTTCGCAGAAGCTCCAAATCGGAGCTTCTGTTTTTATGTTATACAAAAGCGCTTTTCGCCTTTTAAAAAGTCGAGCTTTTAGAGGTGTTTGGCTCTGCTTCAACTTTTAAATCCGAAAAACACTTCTAAAAACTGGGCCAAACATAGGAAATAATGACCAACTTAACATAGATGCTCTGTCATATTAATTGGTCTTTATGGTTAAGATAGGATCAATCACCATCATCAAATTATTAATTACCAACTACCCCCCATTACAATTATTATAAGGAAAAAAAAACTCATTACAAACGATGTGGACCAGAACCTCTTAGCTTTTGTCTGACAGAACTCTTCCCCACTTGTTCTCAGTATTTAATTTTTCTGCTGGAAAATGTTTGATGTCTTTTAAGAAATTCTCCAGCAAGCAGCATCAATCCGGCCCGCCGCATGATACACCTTTTCTACACCCGCCCGCATCCGACCAAAAACATGGAAGAAACTTCCTCACTGGAGTTTTCCTGCTTTCTTATGTTCTTGTTATCGGAGGAAAAAATCCCAAAGTACACTAGTTTTTAAAAAAAATTCCCAAAATACATAAGTTATAAAAAAATTTCCAAAAGTACACATGTTTGAGCATCACCGTTTTAGACAAAAACGGTGAAGGTCATCACCGCTTTTGACCAAGACGGTGAATACTTCACCGTTTCAAACTAAAACGGTGAAGGGTTCACCGCGTTTGTTAAGAACGGTGAATACTTCACCGTTTTAAACAAAAACGGTGAAGCCTTCATTTGAATTCCAAGTATTTTAATAACTCTAAATGGTTCTCCTCGTCGATACGATCGCGCTGCCGAAAACGGCTCGTCATTTCGACCTCAAACGAATAAGATACGCGCGTTTTAGTTTTTAGTACGCAAAAGTTACTTTAACGACATGTGCAGCTTTGAACTCACTTATCTCACTCGTTTGGACTCGGAATTGAGATCTGTAAAATTCTATGTGATCGTGTTTGATTTTCCCAACCTTTTTGTGTTGAGGGAAGATAATGATTCTTGATAAAATGATCCAGAATATTCATTCGACAACTTAAGTGCGTAGGATAGTTTTTAGACAATGCAAACTCAAATAACAACACCTAAAAATCACAAAAACAACATTGATAGTTCACTACAATGATAAAACGATAAATTCAATCATTTGCTTCATTTTGGCCCCCATCTCCACCTCTTCCTCCTCGTCCTCCACGAGTTTGTTGTTGCGGATGTTGGAATTGAGAGAACCATATGTAACAACATCATGGGTTCTCTCAATTCCAACATCCGCAACAACAAACTCCGAACCCCCCGATCATTCGTCAAGCTACCGGTCCAACTCAGCCACCACCACCACCATATGTAACCCCAGTTGGGGCTCGGGTCAAGAGAAATCCGCGACCAGCCGTTGAGCGAGCCCGCCAAGAAGCAGTGGCGGAGGGGGGAAGAAGGGGTCGAGGACGTCGTGGAGGACGAGGAGGAAGAGGTGGAGATAGGGGCCAAAATGAAGCAAATGAGTGAATTTATCATTTTATCATTGTAGTGAACTATCAATGTTGTTTTTGTGATTTTTAGGTGTTGTTATTTGAGTTTGCATTGTCTAAAAACTATCCTACGCACTTAAGTTGTCGAATGAATATTCTGGATCATTTTATCAAGAATCATTATCTTCCCTCAACACAAAAAGGTTGGGAAAATCAACCACGATCACATAGAATTTTACAGATCTCAATTCCGAGTCCAAACGAGTGAGATAAGTGAGTTCAAAGCTGCACATGTCGTTAAAGTAACTTTTGCGTACTAAAAACTAAAACGCGCGTATCTTATTCGTTTGAGGTCGAAATGACGAGCCGTTTTCGGCAGCGCGATCGTATCGACGAGGAGAACCATTTAGAGTTATCAAAATACTTGGAATTCAAATGAAGGCTTCACCGTTTTTGTTTAAAACGGTGAAGTATTCATCGTTCTTAACAAACGCGGTGAACCCTTCACCGTTTTAGTTTGAAACGGTGAAGTATTCACCGTCTTGGTCAAAAGCGGTGATGACCTTCACCGTTTTTGTCTAAAACGGTGATGCTCAAACATGTGTACTTTTGGAATTTTTTTTATATCTTATGTATTTTGGGAATTTTTTTTAAAAACTAGTGTACTTTGGGATTTTTTCCGTTATCGGATGGGCATTGATCATGGGTCCCACCTACGAGCACAGCAACAGAGATCAAGCGCGGGCAAATGGCAATGGGCTTGTCACGAGTCACGACTCGAACTCGGACGATCAGATGCGTCCAAAACGTCACTGAACTTTGGGATTATTAATAAACTGGTACCTAACTTTTGACTTTTGATCGACAAGTAATTATTTTGAAGGGTGAAAAATACATCTATCGTTAGTTGGATTTGAAAATGAGAATTTTGATCAAATTTTAGGCTTTAAAATCTTAAATTTGTGATGGAGTTGGTCCATTATGAATTTCGGAAAATTTGTTGGATTTTGTTTATAGATTTTGTTGTTATGCATTTCTAGTTTTTAATTTGAAATTGCATTAACTTAAAATATTTTTATTTTCAGAGGGGTATAAATGTAATAGACTATCATAGATTTTGCAACGTCTCTTCAAATCCCACACTTACGGATGAGATTACTATGTCATAAGGTCCACCAAATTGGCCATCCAAATTCATGGCACCCACATTTTCGGTCCCAAAAAATTGGGAACAAAAAATATATTTTCCTACATTCATGATAAATTAGATTTGGGTATGCAACCATTCTACACTATAATATATTCATATCACAATAATTGAATCTTATGTACTACTAAGCGTTACCATCCTAGTATAAATTCTCAAAATATATAAAAATGATTGTAATTTTGAAAAACCATATGTTAATCGTCAACTCTCGATTAAGGAGATCTGCTCTCGATTTTTTGTGGTCGTATTAGAAACCAACGGACACGAGCACCAGGATCACAGAAATTAACTACACCCAAACTACACACAATAAAATTCTCCTCCCTCTAAAGTCTAACCGTCTGTACTCTGTGCACCTTACACCAGCCCTCCCTCCCACCGCCATAGCAAATACCTCGAAAACGCGGGAAGAATCCTGATATCCCCCGGACTCCCGTTCCGCCATTTTTGCCTTCTGAACCTCTCTCATCCTCACAAAACCAAAACAATTCGGGAATATTCTCCTTGGACAAATTGACTTGCACGTTAAGCGATTCCCCTTCTCCCGTTTCAATTCCTTTCAACCTCCGTCTTCCGGTCAGGCAGGCGGAGCTTCTGTCTCGTTTTATTCCGCTTTGCTTGTCGCCGGCAACAGTCATTCGGCGGGGGTTTTCCCCCCTCATTCCGTGGTCAATTCGAACTCTTGTTTCCCCCCCCCCCCCCCCCCCCCCCCCCTTCCAAATTCGCTTTGGTTTCGTGTTTTTGACAATGTTTGTTCCTGGTTGATCTCTTCGGCCGGTCGATTCGCCATCTCCCGCCTCTGCTGCTATTTCTCATGCCCGCCTGCTTCTGGTATGAAGTTCGCAGGCGATTGTTTCTTTTCCTCTCCTACATCTCTTCCACTTCTGTGGAATTCTTCTTCAGCTTCTCAACAAGGTGCGTTTTTCTCCTCTCCAGCTTTTGCAAGTAGCATTATACTCTTATTGCCATCTCGTCGATTGAATGGGCTTATGGTGATTGTGAATGGCGCTTTTTGTGTTTGAAGCAGCAGAGCATTGTGTTGACTTTGGAGGTGATTTGAGTTTGAATTGGGAGCTTGATGGGGAAAGCTGACGATGGGAGATGTGTTTTCCCTTTATCTAGTCTGCAAATCGGGTTAGTATTTTTGAGCTTTGTCTCCATTCCTCCGATATCTGCAATTGAGAAGTAGGGCACTGTTACATCCCATATGCATGTATGAATCTAGCGGAACTGGGCATTGGGCAATCGCAATTGAGAAATTTTGCTTATAGCTTGCTCCTTCTAAGAGGTTCTGACTCTTAGTATGATCTGTACAAATTGGTACTCTAGGCTTTGAGGCATGCCTAAGAAGCTCTTCTGTATTGGTTATTTATTCGATTCCTGAATTGTTCTGTCCTTTTCTGATTGCAGAGACTTGCAGTCGTATCTTTCAGATCTTAGTCTGTATGTGGCTTTCGAAAGTAAGAAGCTATACGTCTTGGTGGACAACCGGCCATGGTTGAAGAGTCTGGGTTCGCGGCCAGCACACTTGTGGCAGTTGATGGTTACAAAGGTGATGAGTTACAGTCACTAGAGATATTCAGAACACTGTACCTGTTTTTAAGTCCTTGATGGTTCCAGTTATTGATATGGGTTTAAGTTCATTGCAGTCGAGGTTATCTCCATTTGCAAACAGCAAAGCACAAAGAGGGAAAAGGGAGTGCAAGGGAACTTCTCGTCCTCAGTCTGATTCCAACAAGGCAAAGAATATGGAGAAATGGTTCTCACTGATCGATGCAAAAAACTTCTCTCAGAAGGCAGGTTTGTTGCCAGTGGAGAAGTTGAGGAAGTCATTATTCTTGAGCAGTGAGCTGCACAGAACACTCTATGGTTTTATAGTGTTTGAAGTTGCTTGGAGCAACGTTCGAGGTATTAACTATTTGAATGAACTTCAGGTACGAGGCGTTGAATCCCACAATCTTCAGTTTGTATTTTACAGTGAAGTTTGTCTTTTTGGTCAATAATTTTTATGTGTACGCAGACAGACACATCTCTGGCAGTTGAGGCGAAAGTTATGCAAAGATGGGAATTTGATTGTATATCTCAAGCATCAAGATCTATATCTTCTTGGTTTTCAGGAACATTGCCCGAGCAGTTACAATTGAAGGAGTACCTGGATTCTGTTACAGGTTACTGCAGCCCTCTCTTGAATTCTGATTTATTGTTTTATCCTTTTTTTTTATTAGTTTGTATCACATTGCTTCTGATCAAGGCGTAGCGAGCAGACCCCATATTGTTTAAAGACTGTATTACCTGATATACTTTCTCTAATGTCACAGTAGATCCATTAAGCTTACTGCAATGCTGGAATGTTGAATTATATTGGAAGTTGAAACTGATGTTATGTCGATATGTTCGGGTGTTCTCCAGGAGATATTTTCTATGATGCAAAGCAAAAATTTTCAAGAACAGGTTCTTTCAATGATGATGATGAAGAGACCATTGGAGGTAATCTGGGCACTGGGAATTTCCCATCCACTAGTCTCAGTGATTCTGAGGATATTCAAGATGACTCTGAGCCCCACACACCTCCACCCAGTGGGCCCTACAAGAGAAGAAGGGTAACTAAGTCGATTGCCACAGGAGTCGAAGTTGATTTTTATTCTGAAACACAGGGCAGAAGCAAAGATTTGTTGCACAACTCGGAGGCTGATTGCAGCAGCAGCAATTGTGAAAACGGTAGTCTTGAAGCTAAGGAGTACAAGGACGTACTAATTCTGATGAGGTTCGATGACCATGACCTCCCTTCCAAGCTGAGGCAAATCGTAATGGCTGACCTTAGGTTATTGACCCTCTTAGAGGCAGGGCTTCCATCATGGGTAATCTTTCTCCAATCATATCCTGGGTTTTGCCATCTTTATCGCCCGTGGATGTGTCCACTAGCTAGAGCTTTATACGTCTCCATCTCGATTGTCACTGTTATGATAGGCTTCTATGATCTTTACAAAAATGTCCCTGTTCTCAAGGCGACTGCATCTCGATTATGTGGGCCACTTTTTGACTGGATAGAGACTTGGGAAATGGTCTCCAGGATCAAGTATCTGGGGACCATGCTGTTTCTTCACAATTTCCAGAAGGCTGTAACCTGGTCCTTAATGATCACTCGAACTTTCCGGTCTTTCCTCTCCGTTTTCACCCAACCTCTGGTTGGCCCGTTGGTGGAATTAGTAGGATTTCTCCTTCCATTGTGGAATGAAGTCATTGAAATAGTTGAGCGGTTATTCTCAGTAGTCTGGCTTGTGGTGGGAACCACTTGCAATATGGTTGGAGATGTTCTTGAGTTTTTCCTGTGGCCTATATGGGTTGTCCTCTCTTTTGTATGGAACTTCGGTACGTTCTGCCTTTCTCGTTTCTTGGTAGCTTTTCACTGCTGTTTGGCCAATGTCTTGTGTCTAACTTTTTAAAATAATTTTCTGCTGCAGCGACTTCAATCTTATATCCCATCTTCTGGATTCTGTGGGAAGTCATCTACACCCCAGTTCGCATGGTTCTTGCACTATCAGGCTTCCTGGGTGGAATTTTAGGCTTGATGGTGCAGTTGGTTGTAGATGTTTGGCGATCTATGAGTAGCATAGTGCAGCTTGCTTCAGCTTCCGAGGCGTCAGTGAACACGTACCAAGTTTCCATGTGGAGATCACTTTGGAGCGACCTTTTTTCACAGGTCTTTCGTGCCGCAGAAGTATTTTGAATGGTTTTGTGGCTTTCTTCACAGCATGCAACAAACATCGCCTCAGGTAGCTCTTTTCTTTTTTGTTCGTATCCAGTGAACACTGCACACTTTTCGCGAGCCTAACACTTCGCTGAGCTCACAATTTCGCGTTGGACCACAGCATATACAACCATCTACAAGATTTCATCAGGAGAGTACTCGGTGGTGCTCAAAGATTTCAGACTTTTGATTCCCGGCCTAGTTGGAAGTCATTCGAGCCGCGGAATCTGGTGAGTTTTGATAGTGGAAGCAATGCTGCTCTTTTAACCGATGCTCTTTGACTCCGTGTAAACGTTTTCTGATCAATCCGTTGTTTTCTTTATCGCAGTCTGATTCATTCGGGGAATGCAAACAGAGCAGCTCGCCTCGTCGAATGCCAACCCTGCGTATTTCCAAGTCGAAGATGCAGAGGTGAGCCAAGTTCTCTATAGCTAACAGGAAATAGGAAACTTTTGTAGCTTGTTTCTGTAGGAGAAAGAAACAAAGAGAGTAGTTTCTTATTTGTTTCTCTGCAACACCGTGAGGAAGTATCTTTCATTATTTCCTTCTCCCTCTTCGCAGCTAGTAAATCTTGTTTGTTTCTGAACAGTTCCGCGGTAGTCACTCGTAGGTGTTGTATCTTCCTTGTAAATAGCATGTGTATTCTGGGTATAGTAAAAAAAATGTACAAAAAGGAAAATTGCCACTGTTAACAAACAGATTTGGTTAGAGCAATTTAGGGTTTGAGACAAATTGGGGAAAATCATAAATGAAAGAGAACGAAAGGAAGGGAGAGATGATGTTGGCTCAATACTCTCTCAGAATTTGTTCTCTAACCTAACATGTTTGGCACTCAGGAATTGGAATTCCATTTCCGATTCTATTTTATTATTTCATGTGAGAATTTGTTCTCTAACCTAACATGTTTGGCACTCAGGAATTGGAATTCCATTTCCGATTCTATTTTATTATTTCATGTTTGGAATGATAAGAAAGTTGAGAAATGAATTTCATTTGATCAAAATATTGAAAATTAGAATTCTTATCAAAAGTGATAGGAATTGGGTTTATGGAGGTTGAATTAGTGGGACCTATTCATATTCATTTTTATTTTATAATTTCACTTTCTTATTTTTTTCTTATTTTTCTCTTTCTCTCTCATCAGTATTTTATTTCTCAAGATAAAAAAATCTACTAAATCATTAATGATTGTTAAGGAGTACAATTCATTTTCATAGTTGTTGGAATTATGCCAAACACAAATATTGGAAATGAAATTTCGAATGGAAATCCATTTCCATTTCTTATGGAATTCTATCCAAACAGGTTGTAAGGTTACAATTGGGCCCAAGAACTTATAAGGCCTGCAAGTAAAATGAATGGAAATAAAAGAAGAGTTTGGGTCGCTTCAGTTCAGCCCACAGTATTTTGCCCTCGTCTTCTCCCCTAGAAAGAAGGCATAGTCGAACTGCTGTTGAGAGCTGGAACAGGGGAAGCTGATGGAACAGAGAAAAATAATGAAAGACATAATAGAGAAGAACACATGTGATGTTTCCAATCTACTGGTCAGTCCTCGTCCTAGATTCAACACTCTACTAATGTCTAGGAGACTCTATTTTTATTTGATTTTTCCTATCAAGCAAATGAAGCAAAAAGATGTAGACTCAAGAGCAACACTGGAAAAAAAAATCAAACATAACCTCTTTCTCTATTCGGATTAGCCCACTTTGTAAGTAGCTTTATATCGCTGTTACAAAAGTTGCCGAGAACTTCTTTCTTGAAAACTATTTATAGCCTTGGCCATCCTACCGTTGTATTCAAAAGTCGCCCAATTAAGGAAAGTTGAAAATCCTGGCTAATCCCCTTGATTGATGGAGAAACGATTTGCAATGCAAGTTTCCATATTTCAACAATCACACCTGAAACTGAAATTGTAGATTGCAAAGTGTGCCTGCAAAACAAATACCTTTCTATGCCGAGAAGATAGCCAACCATTCACAATAAAGCAACCAGGATACTTAGCAATCAACACACATGAAATGTCCAAGTAAGAATCCAAACAAGAGCACGAAGCAATCAAAACGACCACAGCCTAGTCAGGCAAACCAATCCAAGAGCAAAGTGTAAGCAACATTTAGCAATTAAAACAGTACACAAAGCAACAAAGAAAAGCAAAGGTTCTAGCTCCGCATCAGGGCCACCATCAGAATCCTCAGAATCACTACTGATAATGTGAACAACAGACACATCGTTCTCCCCCTCAATTGCAATTTGCATGATGCCCATGACATCATCAGCTGAGAGAAACATAGTCGGGATGGTGGTACGAAAGAGATTGAGATTAAGATCAAGACGATGCAACAGCTGAGTGATCAATGAACCAAAAGGTAGGGAGATCGCGAGGGAAACATCAACCAAGGGAAGAATCGCCTGTAGAAGAGAGGAGAATAATCCAAAGGGATACCGTGAACAACATGGACAAGAATCCAGACATCTAGTTGAGAGAGCAAATGGAGGTTTCCTGTCCCGGGCAGAAATACCCGAGTGAGAAAAAAGTGAAAAACCTGGAGGACGGGAAGCAGAGTATGGACAGGCATCAACTGATCTGGTCTAGGAAATTGACTGGTGATGGTGTGTAACTCATCCGAGACGTCGAAACCAAAGAGACCCAACTCCGATTCATCAACAAGATACTCACAAACTTGAGGGATGTTTAGAAGAAGACCAATTTGATGCACCGGGATAGTCATCATATGACCAAAAACAAGTGAGGTAAAGACGCAAGAGGATACCTCAGTATAACGAAGGTTCGAGTAGAAGAACCTAACAGATTCAGGACAAATAATGGTGGAGAAGGGATGATCAAGGAGAAAATCCCAACCCAGATTGTGGTCAAAGGGGTGAATGTCGAGCCCTACCTCAGCCAACTCGTCGATAGCAATATTGTACGAGGGAAGAATTTGACGAGAGACATATTACAGGGAATGGCGGTGGGAATTTGCATCAATGGGTTCAAGGAACATAGTTCCACTAAAGGTTTTGATGTAAGGAAAGACCATTTGCAGAAGGATAAGAGAGAAGAACAAACACGGGTTGGATGCGAGACAGAGAGACAGGGAAAGATGTTTTAAATAGACACAACGAGGAAACCCTAAACAACTAAAGAGGAAGTAATGAACAAAGGAAAGAACAACAGACAAGGAAATAAGATTAAATAACATAGAATCAGACGATCAAAAGGAATGCAATAAATGACAAAGAACACACAAAAAAAAGGAAAAACAAATCGAAAGAAGAAAATGTAAGAAAAAAAAACAAAGAAGGTAAGCTTAAGGGTCAGGGATCTCTATTATCTCCAAAAGGGAGGACACAGATCGAAGACTAAGCTCACAACAGAGGAAAGTGAATCGTTATGCGGATATGGATTTGGTAAACAAGTCAGCCAGTTGGAACTCTGTAGAAATATGACGCAAATGAATGGTACCAGCTTGAACTAATTCCCGTATGAAATGATATTTAATATCTATATGTTTAGTACGAGAATGGTGAACCGGATTTTTGGTCATGCAGATAGCACTCGTGTTATCACATAAAAGAGGAATGGTAGAAACGCTAAGCCCATAATCACGAAGTTGACTCTTTAACCAAAGAAGCTGAGTGCAAGAACTACCAGCAACAATTTATTCTGCCTCAGCAGTAGAAAGTGTGACAGCTTCTTGTTTTTTTGCAAAACCAAGATACTAAAGAAGTACCAGGAAACTGACAATGCCCTGTGGTGCTTTTTCTATCCGTTAAGCTGCCAACAAAGTCAGAATCAGTATACAAGTAGATCAAACTGATCCTGTTTGGCATACCAAAGTCCAACATCTATGGTCTCTTTTAAGTATCAAAAAATGCGTTTAATGGCGGTGAAGTGTCTTTGCTTATGCTGAGATTGAAAACGGGCACAAAGACAGACTACATACTGAATGTCTGGCCTACTTGCTGTAAGATACAGTAATGATCCGATCAAGCCTCGATATTTGGACTCATCAACTGGGATACCAGCTTCGTCCTTGTCAAGTTTAATATCGCCATAAGCGTAGGACAAATGTCATGCTAGACACATACTTAGACTGGTTAATGAAAGTGACAAAGGAAGTCTGCTTGATTTGCAGTCCGAGAAAATACTTCAGCTCACCCATTAAGCTCATTTCAAAAACAGACTTCATGGACTTACAGAAAGCAGAACAGAGAGCAATATTTGTGGACCCAAAAACAATGTCATCGACATATATTTGAACAATCAGGAAAATCAGTCGAAGTACGTTTGATAAATAGCGTTTTATCTACAGATCCTTGAGAAAAATTTTGATCTCGAAAAAAAGAGGTTAAACGATCATACCAAGCCTGGGGAGCCTGTTTAAGATCGTAGAGGGCTTTGTTTAGTTTAAATAGGTGATCGGGATATCTATGATCGACAAAGCCTAGCGTATGTTCAACATAGACATCTTCCTCAATGATACCATTTGAAAAAGCACTCTTGACATCCATTTGAAACAAAGGAACCCCATGAAAGAAGCAAAGGCACAAAGAAGACGAATTGACTCGATACGTGCAACAGACTAACAGGTGCAAACGTTTCGTCATAGTCAATGCTTTCTTCTTGGGAATAGCCTTGAGAAACTAAACGAGCTTTGTTTCTAATAATAATTCCAAGCTCATCATACTTATTTCGAAAGAGCCACTTAGTACCTATGACACTCGTATTTAATGGACGAGGAACCAAATCCCTAACATGTAAATGAGCAAACTGAGTAAGCTCTTCAATCATAGCAAGACACCATTCCTCGTCAGCCAATGCTTCCTTATAGTTCTTAGGTTCTACTTGCGAAACATAAGCATACTGACCTAAAATATATTTACCTCGTGTGCGTAGACCATCATTGTGAGCACCAATAACTTGGTCAGCTGGATGCCTCTTTTGAATGTGAGGCGGAGTTGTAATTTTAGCGGAAGGTGGCTCAAGAGGAGGATTAGGAATATCAATATCATCTGTAGCGATCGATTCACTAGCCAAGACTTCCTATAGATGCACATAATCTGCATCTTTAGAAGTAATATAACTACCAAGCATTTACAGATAAGTCAAGTACCAAAGGAGATGAAATTGGTTCAGGAGAGGAAGTAGTGTCATTAAAAATCACACGAACAGATTCTTCAACTTTTTGAGTCCTCTTATTGAAAACTCGAAACGCTTTAGCCAAATCAAATTTAGCATCAAATTTACCAAGATTATCGCGAGTAATTAAGCACATAGTAGGGACATCCAAAAGGATTATTTGGCGTCTTGTTTTTGAAGAGCTCATAAGGAGTTTTATTAAGAGACTTACGAATAAGCACACGATTTATCACATGACAAGAAGTACTAACTGCCTCTGCCCAAAAATATTTAGGTATATTGTATTCAAGCAGCAAAGTGCGAGTACACTCAATGAGAGTGCGATTGTTTACGCTCTACAACCCCGTTTTGCTGAGGAGTGCGAGGTGCGGAGAAAATGTGAGAGATCCCAGTGTTATTGCAAAAAAATTCAAAATCTTCCACAATACTCACCCCCATTGTCACTTTTGACAGATTTGATTTTACTCGAAAACAAGGAACAAAAGGTTTTAAAGTTAGCAAAGTTCCATCCTTATGAGCCAAAAAATAAACCCAAGTATTTCTAGAGTAGTCATCAACCAAAACGAACACATAATTTTTTCCTCCTAAGCTGGTGACATTACAAGGCCCAAAAAGATCCATATGGATCAGTTGGAACATAGCATTAGTGGTAATATCAGGCTTAGACTTAAATGTTTTCTGATAGACCG